GACAGACAGACAGACAGACAGAGAGAGAGAGAGAGAGATAGAGAGAGAGAGAGAGAGAGAGAGAGAGAGAGAGAGAGAGAGAGAGAGAGAGAGAGATTGTGATCAACTGACGGGCTGACGGATAATGACAGGGAGAAAACATTATGTGTGTGATACGGACTGTTCAATTCTTTAAGAGTTTTATGTTATAATCTAGTTTAAAAATAAAAAAGATGTATGAAATAAGAAGAAAACGTGTCCGGGTAACATACAATTATCAAACATACCAAATTAAAAAGATAATCTTTCAAGATGCTAAAATATTTAATAATAAGAAATGGATGAAAATATACTTTTAAACTGAATTTAAGATATATATGATTGCATGATTCTAGGCGTGTGCCATAACTAACTATATATGTACGGAATAGCGGACACAAAAGAGGGTCGATGTTTGCTTTATCTAATTGCTAACAGTATGTCTTGATCTATAAATAATATTATTGATCACAATAATTTTGTTTCCTGGTTTTCACAAAGTGGAGCGCACAATGATTTCAAATATTCCCCCAAAAAGAAATAACAGCACCCTTGGAGGTGTGATCGCATGCATGAGCGTGGATAACCTTTGAAGTTTTTTTTTCTCCAGTAAAGTATGATATGGAGAGCAGCGTTTTTAGTCCCTTATTACACTCCAGATGGGGGATAATTTATCTTAGTGATGACTCTTGTGTAGTAAAATTTGTTGTTGCTTTGTTTGGTTTATTTTTTAACTGCAGAATCTTAAGTGAACCGGAATTATTGATTGTGGGATCTTAGGTGAAGACTACAATAATAGAATTAAACCGAGTATAGTTCTATCTAACAAGACTCAAACTCTTATCCACCCCACCCTACCCTCTCCCCTCATCTGATATGGTTTGGTGTTCCTTTAACATAGAAAATATTCATCATTATTGTTGTTGAATATTGATTTCATGTTCTAATGGAGCCTCTACATATCTACATTTAGACTACAGTAGCATCTAATTTGCACACACACACATGAAAGCAATATCTTTAATTAAAATGTATAATATGTATATACATACACACACATAATAATTATATATATACTCATAATAATTATATATATTTATGAATAAGAATCCTTTAAAAAAATTGAGTATCTCAGTCTTTCTGCTGGGGTGTTGTATCCCTTTCAGCCTGGGTTGGCCTTGGCATGTAGCGCCGGGGTTAGCCTCTTATGAATTAATTATTTAAATTGTGTTGATGGGGGCATAGAAACACTTTCATTCAAATTTTTTAAAAGGGAAACAACTTTACTGTGAAAACTTCGGTCTACTGCATCATCATATCGGTTCTTACACTTAAATACAACACAGGTGCAAGGCATTTTTACTAATTGACTTGCCTAATCTGAAGGACCTCGGAATAAAACCTTCTTTCTTATCTAGATTCCAGTGCCTTAGTCGGGCAATCGCGCAGCGCAGGTAGCCCACGGTTCCGCCGCGAGAGAGGGCTCCTATCAGGCGTGCGGTGCCGCCCACAGAGCATCCTCCATTACTTTTAATCTCCTTGGAAACAAAACAGTCAAGTTTGGTTCCATCGGCTCTAAACTTTCCGCCATACCTCAAAGCGAGAAGTGCGAGGGTTCACTGAACAATGCTTCTCTTAGTGAGCACGCAATTATTGTGGCGCCTTTGCTGAGGGCCTTTGGAAATTAAATCACCAGTGTGACAAAATTTACTCTGGCTATGTTTGTCCTGCGTTTGAAGTCATAGTATACTGCCTAGCAAGCTGTCAGCTATTAGGCCACCTGTAAGCCAATGCAGACACGAGCCGATTTATGTCGGTAGGGCCAGGAGCTAGGCTTTCTCAGATTCAGACCTCACATCCCGCACGACTGGCCTCGGCATTGGAGGCCGAACACGGTCGCGGAGGGTGAATGCGAAAAGCAGCGATAGACTAGTGCGTTGGTGCGGGTGAAGCAGCATTCTCGCACTGTAATCACTAGACAGTAGGGCTGGATTCTGCTCGGTTAATCGAAGGCTTGTAAAGCAGCGGAAGTCTTGCGCTAGAGTCTTGCGAGCAGGCTTGTGGTTT